GAGGAAGCAAGCCGCCAGGTCTGGAACTCAAACCATGGTTGCCCATGTGGGAGTCCAGCGCCCTTAACCACCATGCCACCTACCGGCCCCAATTCACTCCCTCTTGTTAACCAACCCGTGAGGAAGGTACTGTTCTTCTCATTTCACAGAGAATGGAAGCTCAGACATGCTGAGTCATTTGTTTGTGGTGCGTGGCCTGTGAGCCCCGGGGATGAGCAGAAATTCAAACCCGAGCAGCCACCACGTGGCTGGGAAGTTTCCAGGTGATTGTAAAGATACTTGTTTTTCTTAGTAACCCCAAAATCAGGAGTCAGCAGAAGGCAAATTGAAGAGACAAGTTCCAAGGGACATAAGCACACTTGGCAACCACTCACAGTCCTGCTTCTCCACGGTATCTGTCTACACCACACAGATAAGGTGGCTAGAATTCAGTCCCTGGCACTCCACGGCTCCGTTCAATCTCACTGCATCTCACAGTCAGAGAGCAGCCTGTGAGCATGGAAACATGGCTGGACGCACCCAAGCTGTGAGTCCCTAGAACAGCTCTCCTCAGCTGCCTTGTCAATCCTGTGCTGATACAACACTGGAACCACCTGAAAAATGTCACTTCCCAGCAGGCCCTGCACAGAGATGGTGAGGCTACAGGATGTTAAAGGACAGGGGACATACCGCACTTGACTGGCTCCTGTCCCCATCGTCCGCGTTTCTCATTCTCCTGTCTAACCCTTACAGCAGTCGTGCATTTCACCTTCGACCAAGGTGCATTTTACAACTAAGGATTTTCTCCACCTGTCTCCCCCCTCACCCTCGGCTAATCTCTTGTTTTCTCCCACAGGCTCTGGGTGATCGAATTGGCGTTGGCTCCTCCTTAGTCCGAGGCGAGTATGGCAGAGCTTGGAATGAAGTTCAGCTGATGAATGAATCGCGGAGGGGAGTGACTGGCAGCCTCCCCTCTCCTGAAATATACATTGTTGACCTCATGTTCCATCCCGGGGCACTGATAAAGTTAAAAAGTAAAGAGGCCGATCTTTACAGATTTCTTTAACTGGTCAAATGAACATGAGGGACTCGAACAAGAAATTCACTCCATACACTCGAAGAAGTTCACCAACTCATTTTCTTTCTTTCAATAAAAGCATTAGAAATGTTCTCTCCATGCAGAAATGGGGAAATTCAGACTGAACTTTGTCCTGCTTCTGACTTCAGGCTTTTGCAAGAGTTCACAGTCTTCTTGGGTCATCTTAACGCTCACTGTCCCTCACATGAAGCTCATTACTGCTGAAACCAGTCCAGCCCAGGGTTTCCCCCGGAGCCTTTCTGTCCACTCGGAATCGTGTGTAAAGGCCGCTCGGCTGCTGTGCCCAGGATGGGACTGTGGTCCCATCGCTTTCATCCTCCATGTTTCTAGAATTTGCTATAGTAAACGCAATAAACGAACAAAACCAATCTTTTTATTTTAATTTGCTAGAGGGCATGTTGTCCTCACCAGATTGAGAGTAAGAAAGCATCCCCCATGAGGGATGCTCACACTCCGATCCCTTCTCCTCCATTTTTCTCCTGTTGGGATTTTGGCATGCATACACGTGCCCAGCGTGGTTTTCATGCCAATAGGTCCAGGACTTGAACCATGGATTCGGCCACGTGGGATTGAGCTGCCTTAACCATCACATCACTGACTGGCCCAATAGTTTGAATCTTTATAGATCTGTTTTAGTATTACAAACTCCTTTCTAGGAATATTTTTCATATTCAAAAAAAAAAAACCAAGAAACATCATTCACTGTTTAGGCCAACCACGGTAGCACAGCCATGTCAGTGCTCTGCAAAGCTGGGGCCGTGTGGGAGGTCCCAGGTTCACATTCCGAGTTCTCCCTCTACATGCCGAGTACGCATGTGTTCCCAGGATCCTGGCTGGCTAGGGGTGAGATAACCCTGAATCCCCTGTCAGGGTCTTTGTCTCACTCTCTCTGTCTCTTTCTATCACGGGAGAAATACTATGTTTGCTAAATAGAAAACATGTCCAAGATACATTTTAATGTATTTGTCTCTGTCTTGTCAGCATTAGCTTGAAAATGTGGGAATTTCAAAAAAATTCATGGAAATATGGAATTGGTGACCCCCTTGTGTATTTTCAGCTAAAAATAATTTGTTTCTTGTTCCCGTTTTGCCATAGGGCACTTGTGCTCACCAGAGAGAGAGAGAGAGAGAGAGAGAGGGAAAGTGAGACTCACCCTCAAGAGGAATGGCCACACTGCAATCCCTTCTCCTCCATTCTTCTCCTGGGATCTTAGGCATGCACACACATGCACACAAAATAATAATAATAATAATAATTTGCTCTAACACATTTTAATGCTAGGTCACTAAAATATTCTTTTCAATTTATATGACTTAGAAACTCACTTTTGGGAAAACTGACATAAATAGAGCAAATATTTGCTTATGAATTTGTTTTCAATGTTAATCACAAAATAGACAGTGAATATTTATTTTAAATGGTAAGAAATAAACACTAAAGTAGTACTTCCTAGTCAGGTGTGAAATTTAAGGTTTACCTGTGTAATTATTTTTCTGAAAGGTGTTTTCAAAAAGTGAGTTTGATTTTAGAAATTAAAGCTGAGATTATTTTGTATGAACCAATTTGTAATTTCAAGAAACGTAATTATTTAAAAATAAAGTTTTCTTATTGTAAATGGTGTGGTAATTATATTTATCATGCAATTTCACAAAATTAGAGCATGCCTTGCAGGATACAAACCTGTTTTAGCCTTTTTGAATTTGTTTTGCTCCAGAAAGCATTTAAAGAGGATTACAAAGATATATAAGATGTAACAAGATAAAAGTAAATGAAAAACAGGCATAAGTGTAGGAAAGAAAGTTCAGCGAGGCCAGGAATAAGCTTAGAATTTGAAACGCTTCCTTGACAATGCTATGCACTTGTTAAAAATGAATACAAATTTGACTCTCAAATTCTCAAACAGCCAACACAGAGCAATGCCATTATCAGTTACCGGATTTATAATAGGGTCCACTAGATAAAAGCACAGAGCAGTTTCTGAGGGGGAACAAAGACCAGGGGAATTTCTCTTTGAGAGTTTTACAGAAATGACAAAATGTAACGAAGAAAATAACAACTTCAAAAAACAACCTCAGAGTAAGCTCTGAAAAAGACGGCTCATAGGTCAATGGCCTAACATCAATGTGAAATTAAGCAGAGAGTCCATGCAGACCCACATGACAGGCCCTAGGTAGGCACCATGTTTTTAGACTGGTGCCTGCCAAAAAAAATAATGATCAGTCAATTATAAAACAAAAATACATCTTTATAGCAGCAACAAAATTATACAATACCTAGCAATGAATTTAACAAGAAACGTGCAAGAAAACATACCGAGTTGTAATGAGACCTGCAGAAACAGATATGAAGCATGTTCTTTGGTGGGAAACCCATCGGTATGAAGATCTCAGTGCGCCTCATATTAACACATACAATTAGTATCATTTCAACGAGAATCCCAACACATTCCTGTACTTGACAAACAGGAAAACTTATTTGGAAAAGTGAATGTGTATGAATACCAAGACTATTTTGAAACAGAGAAGTACAGAGGAATGAACTCAATCACATATCAGAACATTTATTTTAAAACAATAAAAAGTGAAGTTGACCCTATAACGCAGTGGTTAAGCCCTGCGCTTTGGGAGCTGGATCCCACATGGCTGACTGCAGTTCAAGTCTCAGCCCCAGCAGCTTAAAAAAACAAGGTGGGCACATGCATGTGCTTGACCCAAATCCTAATGGACGGAGAAATGGAGGGAGAGGATTGCAGTGTAACTACACACCACTAGGGGTGCTTTGGAGGCTGCTTTCTCTCTGTCTTTCTAAAAATAATAATAAAAGATAATATAATATAGACATTCTTTTAAAAAAAAAAAAAAGACTCCAAATACAGGTCCATACATATAGGTAGATTTTAACATTGATAAAATGAACTTCTTTGCCCAGTGAGAAAATGATAGCTTATTCAGGTAATGGTGTTGGGGGAATTATAATATTGGCGACGGGAGACAAAACCCAAAACCAAAACAAGATGCCATAAAAGACCATATATGATGAGCCGGCAGATGGCATGGAAGGTTAAGGCAACTGGATCCTACAATGTCGACTGCACAGTTTGAGTCCTGGACCTACCTAGTGGCTTGAAAATCAGCATGTGTGTACGAGTGCCCAAAACCCTGAGAGGAGGATGGTAGAGAAGGGACTGAGTCATGGCTATCCCCCCCTAGGGTGTGGCTTCTCACTTTCTCTCTAGCTAGGCATGCCCTAGAGAAAATACAACAACAAAAACATATGACAGGTCCCCACATAAAAGTTAAATTCCTGTCAGCAGAATACATTGTAACAAAATTATAGACAGAAACATAATTGTAGTATGTGTAACAATGTTAACATTCTTAATACACACGATCTTTTATAGCTCTTCTATAAACCAGTAAGAAAAAGACAAGCCACTTGGAAAATAGACAAAGGTAATAACTGAAGACAGCATTTACACACTGGTAACGAACCATCCCCAGATCTCAGCAGCTTACTGTAATCGTATTTTATTACATCACATTCAAACACGGGTCGCAGAGGTGTCTCGGCCCCACAGAGTCACGCAAGGACCCAGGCAGACAGAAGCACCTCTATCTCACAGATGCACTCTATGGAATGCATGACCTTTTAAGTCACTACCATGGGAGGAGCAAGTGTGAAGGATCCCCTTCAAAAATCCCCTGCCTTGGCCTAGAATAGCATGTAGTCTGGTCAGAACTAGACCCAGACTATTTGGGGAATGGCTAGGAATCATAGATATGCAAGTTAGAATTCTGCTGAGAAAAAAATGTGAAAAGGGATGTAATGATTACATTGCTGGACTCCCTTGTAGTCGACCATGGTTCGTGTTCTGGACCAGGCAGCTTAAAACTCACGCTGGGTCCATGTGTGTATGTGCCCAAGATCCCAAGAAGACAATGGAGGAGAAGGGACTGCGATATGGCCATTCCCTGGGGAGGGGGTGATGTCTCACTTTCTGTCTCTCAATATCTCTCTGTCTCTCTGGTGAGCTCACATGCCCTATAGCAAAAATCTCTAAGAAAAAAAAAAAGAAAAAAACCTGAAAACTCTGGCAACTGTTGTGGTCATAGACTTTAACACAATTTATAGAAAGTAACTGCTGTAGGTGCCAGTGGGTGACATGATACTTAAGGTACTGAATTCTCACGCAGCAGACCACAGTTCTAGTCCTGGACCCAGCAGCTTGAAAGTCATGTTGAGTGTGTGTGGGTAAGTGCCCAAAATCTAAGAGGAAAATGGAGAAGAGATTGTGGCATAGCTATCGCCCCTGGGGAATGATTTCTCGTTTTCTCTCTCTGTCTCTCCTGCATCTGCACATGCACCCTACGGCAAAAACAGAAAAAAAATATCAAAAAGTAATTGTTGCAGTTGTTGTTCTATCAGAAGCAAAGTGATAGTTTTACTTCTGGAAATCAATATATTTCATTTAAATTAGTGTCTAATTTTTTTGAGAGAGAGAGATTTTTGCTATAGGACATGTGTGCTCACCAGAGAGACAGAGACAGAAAGTGAGAAATCACCCTCCCCAAATGGGATGGCCACATTGCAATCCCTTCTCCTTCATTCCCCTCTTGGGATCTTGGGCATGGCGTGTACATGAGCCCACCATGAGGTTTAAACCTCTGAGTCCAGAACTTAAACCGTGGTCGACTTCATGGGAGTCCAGCAACGGAAACATTATCCCATCTGCTGGTCCCTAAATCTAAAATTTTAAAGTTATAAATTAAATTAAGAAGTAAACGGTTAAATATACACCTTTCCTAAGCATTCAGTCCTTGAGCAAGGCATCAAAAATGAGGATTTGAGTTGGCTCTGAGCTTTTAGAAAGTACATATTGGGACCAGCAGTTAGTGTAATGGCTATATCGCTGGACTCCCATGTAGTCGACTGTGGTTCATGTCCCAGACCCGGTGACTTAAAACTCACGCCGGGCGCATGTGTGTGCGTGCCCAAGATCCCAAGAGGAGAATGGAGGAGAAGGGATTGCAGCATGGCCATCCTTCCTGGGGGGTGATTTCTCGCTTTCTGTCTCTCTGTCTTTCTCTCTGTCTTTCTGGCAAGCACGCACACCCTATAGCAAAAACCTCTCCAAAAAAAAAAAAGCTGCCCTGAAGATAAAGTAAGACCAAGCTGTAAATGGCGGGCCGGGGGTGAGAGGGGTATTTGAAGCTCTCTGTTCTACGCTCACATAATGTTCTGTTCTGTTTGCAGCATGTATCGAGGAATTGTTTATTCTTTGTTCTCTTCCTTTAGGTCAGGAGACAGCAAACATATTTTTTTCTTTTCTTTTTTTTTGGAGAGATTTTCACTGTAGGGC